GGATGTAGGACAGGGGGGGAAAATAACAGAAAATTAGAGCCCACAAATACCCACGCTCAAAAAAAAACCGTGCCTTTTTAAAAAAAAAAAAAAAAAAAAAAAAAAGCATTAGAGAGCATGTGTACATGAGAATGCACGTGAAACATACCTGTCCTTTTGGAAAACGTGCCCGAACATGCTTCCATCAATGGTGGAATAAAATATGCAGAACTGATGTTTAAATTTGGGGAAAATATGCATACATTTTCATATAAAAGGCGGGAGGAGTTCACAACCTGATATGCTTGGCACTCAACCCATGAGAAGCCATAGGTTGAGAACAAATGACCTCCGCTTTCCACATCCCTAAGATGTTCAACATCCCACACCAATTATCAAATAGCCAGAGGTTATTGTTGCCCTGAGTCCAATTCCAGGCAGCTCTCGCCTAATTTGAAAGGCTCTCAGGGTGCCATCTCTTTGGACCTGTGGCAACAGTGATTGGTCCCTGTGTAGGAAAGCAGGAGAGGAAAGATAAGTGAAGGGGCAGAAAAAGAAAAGTGGGGACCCACCGCCTACCCACTGCTGACTTGAGGCCTTGACAAAGTAACTTGGCAAGGATACAAGTAAGGTAACCTTATAGGACTGTCTCTGGACAAGGGCACCCATGTAGTCTGTGCAGGTACTTCTCCTACCTGTGCATGGTTGACCTCCATCCCACCTTGCCATTGGCTTGCTTCCTGCTCTTTGCCTTAATAAATTCCTGCATGGCCCTCTACGGTGGTTGTTCTTTCCAAAAAATGTTGAAACACAGACCCCACTGATGCTTCCAAGCTGCCTTTGATCTGTCGCTCAGCACACAAATTTGCCTTAGCTGTCTATGCAAATATTTCCTCAAAATTACAAATATTCAAAATGTCAGAAACATGCAAGGGCCTTTGTTAAAGCACGTTGTTTTATGGGATTAACAACAAGCTGGGATGCGTGGAAATGTTGACATGTTATTTGTACAAGGCTGAGGGTGGAGAAGGGGGAGAGGGAAAGGAGGAAAAGAAAAGGATTGTAATAACAATGCAGCAAGCCAGCTGAACAAGCCATAAATACAGTATAAGGCCCTAAATATATAGATGCAGATATTTAAGTGAACCAGTGAAAAGGGAAAGAAAACTGTGCTTTAACAAGAGGATGGTGTTGGTTTATAGCTGTCTGGTGTGCAGGTGGGTGGTACGAGGCAAAATTAATTCCAAGGCGCAAGCCCTGGATCAACATATTTGGGGGAAAAATGTACCTTTGTATCTAAAAAATCAGAGTGCCATGAATATTTAACAAGGGAGAGAAAAAGAAAGATTTTTGTCATCTGGTAAAACAGTCTCTGAGAGGCTTAGATTTGGCCTGCCTTGTGTAAGCTTCCCTTCTTTGTAAACAAAGTACGTCACATGCCAGAGAAAAGATTGCAATCCTTAATTTGAGCTGGAGATCAGCAATTTCAGAGTCTCAGATGCCACCTTAGAAACAAATCAATTCCCCAGATTTATTATGATCACCACTCTGGCTAATTCAGGCTTCAGTCCTCTAGCCCAGAGGTATTCAGTGCACAACCAACGGGTCGCATTTGACCAATGGCTGCTCCTGAGGTGGTCTATGGAGTGGCAGAGGTCTTTCCAAAGACCTATGTAAGAGCTCTAGTTCAGATGGCCCTTGTCAAAACTGACAGCTTGGAGTAAGGGGTTGGTTTACTTTTTTTCACTTTCTCAAGGCTTGGCAAATGTTGGAAATGTCCAGGTCACTGAAACCTACCAGGTTCATGCAGAACACCTAGAGGGTCTTGTCACAAAGAGGGAAACTACTGGTCAGCTCCTTTCTTGGGCAAAGATCCATCCATGGCGTTGTTTGCTCTTGTCAGATGACCTTCTGACAGCTGTCATAGAAAGCAAAGTAGAAATTTAGCCTATTTCTCTATCTTCCTCTCCCATTTTGACAGGAGAAGTTTCCAACACATTTCATTTCAGACCCTGGTAGGAGTGCAGGTGAACATTTGTGACAGACCCAATTTTGTCCACTAAAAGAAAGGTTTTGGAGCTGAATGCCAGAGATCCAAAGTCAAATTATGTTCTATGAGTAATTGCTGGAGTTCCCCCTGCCCCCCTATATATGTGCAGGGCACTGACCTTCATTATTCCAGTAGGGAATAGATTTCTGTAAGAGGAAATCAGGTCAGAATTATTAGTGGAAATTTCAAGGACCACAAGCTTCAACCTAAGCCAAGCAGCTTCTAAGAACTGGGTTACCCCTTGTTCAGCAAAAAGCAGTATTGAATATGCAGGACCAGAGAAAGAGGGCTATAACTTAAGAAGTCCTGTTGTCTGACACCAGTTCAAGATTACTGGCTAACTGTGTAACATACATCACTCCCACCTTCTGGCCAACAAGCAGCAAGAACCTTCCTGAGGATGGAGCTAACACTGTTTGGTTAAGAAGAGAAGAAGATTCAGTTTGGGATCAACTTCTTATCCAGAATGGTAACCTTTCACCAGTTATCTGACTCTCTGACTTGACCGTTGTCCTTTGTTAAGGGCCTCTGAAATACTTCTTTTCTACCACAAAGCCAGCCTGGCAGGCCTGCTTCAAGATAATAACAAATGCAGTCAGAAGCCTCTTTTCTGAAGCCATTTGGAAGCAGAAAATGGTGGGCTTTCTATGGGGGTGGGGAGAGACCAGTTTCCAACAGAATGCTACGAAATCTGTCCCATGTATGCACTGTGAATTGTCAGTCACCTTTCATTCCATCATTGATGGGATCAGAAGCTGCAAAAATGTGTTTTTGTACACTTTTGCATGCATTTGAAGTTTCAAAAATTCACATTCCTGAAAATGCAGAAATCCCCCTCAAAATACACAAAAATCCCTGCCATACCCATATTGACATACTTTAACCCATGGGAAATACATTTTTCGTGTATTCTATGTATTTCAGTACAATGAAATTTGCAGAATATTATGTGCAGTCTCTCTCTCTCTCTCTATCCAGCAGCCATGGAATCCATAACTTGGGTAAAGCCAAGTGCTTGGATTCTTAGAGGCTCATATTGAGTGTATTGCAGATCCAACATCCTTAATTCTGCCCTCTGTTGACCTCATTCCAACTTCTGATTCAGCTGGTAGAATTTGCTCAAAATCCATTATGCCTAATTGAAAACAAATCCATTTCTGTAGTGACTCCATTAATGGCCCAGTGAAGGGGTTGCTTTTGCCTGTGTGTATCCTAAAATATTCTGGGCAGACCTTGTCCTTCTTCCTCTGCAAAAAGAGCCACATTAGAATGAACAAATAATTTAAGTTTCATCTCTGAAGCCAGGTTCTCTTGTGCCTTGAAGTGGCTAAATTATGAAGTCCCTTCAAGGCGATCAAACTGGTTAGTCCTAGAGGAGATCAACCCTGACTGCTCTTTAGAAGGCCAGATCCTGAAGATGAAACTCAAATACTTTGGCCACCTAATGAGAAGGAAGGACTCCCTGGAGAAGAGCCTGATGCTGGGAACAATAGATGGCAAAAGGTGAAGGGGACGGCGGAGGATGAGGTCGAGTCACTGAAGCAGTCCGCCTGAGCTTAGGTGGACTCTAGGGGATGGTGGAGCACAGGAAGCCCTGGAGGAGTGTAGTCCATAGAGTCACGATGGGTCGGACATGACTTCGCTACTAACAACAACAAAACAGGGATATGTGTAAACCCCCCAGAAGGTGTGCCATTTTGAAGAGCTAGTTTTCCTGGCTGTATAAGTCACTGATTTTCATGGGAAACTGCACTCATCACATGCTTGAGGTATCACCTAAAGATAGTAACAAATGTTTTCTTCCATGGCACATTCCAGATGGACTCATAGCATGCATTCCCTGCTCATAGTGCGTGGATTCTGGTTTGGGGGTAGGAATCTGCTGGACTTGCTCAGCTCGAGAGGCTGGACTGCAGCCCTCATTTGCTTGGCACACGCCCTCTGCTCTCCTTCAGTGCAAGTGGAGTCCAGCTTCCCCACACATGACTTGCAGGCTTTGTGCAAAAGACTGTGCTTTCTGCATTGTGTCTTGGCTTAGCTCACTTCCTGGCCAGGGCTCAGCATAGGGAAGAGGGCTGATGAGCACAAGTGAGACAGATTCTGACCCAGTTCTAACATCCCTGAAGCCACGCTACATTCTGGGCTTAGGTTTCCTTAAACTCCTTAAGCAGCAGCTCCCACACAAGTATGCTACTTTTAAGACTGTACAGATACGTTGCCTAGCAGAATCCACTCTGAGAGCCAGCTGGGTAGATGGCATTTCATAACAGGATAAATTGGTCCCTGCAACAGCAGGGACTTGGACCTGATGGCCTTGTTGACCTCTTCCCACTCTACTATCCTATAACTGTATGAAATAGCTAAACCTAAACACATAATTTGATGGCATCATTTGAAACCTCGATGGCTACTTGTACTCAGACTCTGTCTCTTCTGCACCCTCACACCCACATAACACATGTTTCTGGCTGCATCCTTGAACAACCAATGGATGGATTACAATCTGTTCACAGAATACAGCTGGGCATAGCATTAGCTGACTGACAGATCCAAAGGCCAGAGTGATAGAGTTGGCCATCACAGTAAGCTGCTTATTCCATCTCTGCCCTTGCAGCAGGACTGAACTGTGCAGAGTGGGCCTTTTTGTAGTTTTTCCAGGATTTTATCCAAACAGATTAATAGAACTGAACAGCTTTAGCCTTCCAAGTTTGCACTTCTCCAAAATTCACAGTGGCATTCCCCAGATTTTCAAAACTGTGATCCAATGTGTATAACTGGGGAAGGGATATATGCAGACATGCATGCAAAGGTTCATTCAGGTGAAGCCGTATATTCAGAAAATGGATAGTGAAATCCTGCCCATATTAGAAAAATGATACATTTGAAATGCATGTATCAGAAGAGATGTGAATACATTGTGTTTGAATTAAAGAAACACCTCCAAGTTCAGGATGAAGCAGACTTGGAAAATGTCTGGTTGGAAGAGGTTGCTTCTTACTATGTTGCTCTTCTGCTGAAGGGACTGCATCGGTTGCTGATGTACCACTAGCCCAGACTTTTGGTTTTGGAAATAGAGTTCGAAACTTGAGGGACCCGGGATCAGGCAATCTGAGAGGTCATCTTCTCCCTTTCCAACCTTCCCAATCGTGCAGGCCATTGGAAGACATTATCCTGGGGTCCACCAGGGAAAAAACCATCAGTGTGGTGAATCCACTCCCTAACTTTGAGGCCAAACAGTCGGGACACCTCTAGAGGTATCTTTTCTCCAGAAGGGCTTCCTTGCTGATCAGGCACAGGGTGAATGTTACCCCATTCTTAATTCATGATTGATACTCTTTTATCTCATTTGCCTTTTGAGTGTTTGCTACTTTGGAATGTGTCCAGCTACAACGCAAGACAAAATGTGTAAATAATAAATAAATCAACGGCTGTTAAGACCACAAACAAATGAAAAACCAGTTCGAGGCAAACGTGACACATCCCTCCATGTCTAACTGCCGAGAAATTCCAACTTTGCCTCAGTGCACTGATGACACTGACATTTAATATATGTAGAGCAGCATTTTGGAGAAACTCGTTGCTTATTCATAAAACATTGGCCATGTTTCGGAGGATGTTCTTTCCCACATGGCACTTGGCCAGCGAAAAGTGTGGGCAAAGCTCCAGCAAGAGCGGCACTGGAGAAGCAGCTAATGGAGATGGCTGGAAACCGAGATGAGTGCTTCAGTGTGTGCAAAATGAAGCAAAAGGTGCACTGGTCTTCCAAGCTACTGCATATGGAAAGGGGTGTTATGTGGGATTAGACGGCATCTTTTCTCATTTTTAATTAACCTTCTTCACCTTTGTGCTGTTATAGGCACACACAGTCCTTGGTCCTGCATCAAGGGTGTAATTAGCACAGGCTGACTATGCTTTGCAAGAGAAGTGCTTTCCAGATAGATAAGAAGAAGAGTAAAGCAGAGGTTACGAGGACTTCACAGAAGTGAGCAGATTTGAGAGGGGGGTTCGAGGAACACAGAGAGAAAGCTCATGAGATGGCCTTCACTCCCCTCATTTACCTTCTGTGGGTCTTCCCAAAACAGCTGTGGAAGCCCAAAGGGGGATGAAATCGGGCTGGGTCTGGGGTTTTCTATGGATCTGGCCATGTCTCAAACCATAACATTAATTTCATGTTTAGGAAGATGTGGGCTGTCATAATTACTTGGGAATCCTCTCTTTTTATCCAATCACTATATATTTTACTTTGGACATTTACTTCTTTCATAGCCTTTCTGAAATTCCCTATCCTTTCCCCAGGCAGAAAAATAGGGAAACAACGTCACCCCAATTTTCCTGGGGAAGGAGAAATTCTACAGGTTTCTCAGGCTGGGCAGAATTGTATGTCCTCCACAGAGTACTGGAGAAGGAAGTGTGGTGATCCCTATACTTTAAAAAAAAAGTGGGGGGAGTTGAAGACAATTTTGCACAATGGCCTATTGTTCTAGGAGAGAAGGATGGTCAGGGGAAAAGACACCCTAAGAAATTGTCTCAGCTAAAAAAAAAAAAGAAAAAAAAACTTCTCTTAGAAATGAGAAAACTTTGGATTGTGTGTGTCTGTGTATATGTGTGTTTTAATCAGTTGTTGTTGTTTTAACATTAAGCCAATTTGTAGATCTTGATGGTTGGAAATTATGTAAGTGTGTGGGTTGTGGCGGGGTGAGGAGAGAAAGAAATTTCAGTAAAAAAAGCTATATTGCCTGTAGATCTAAATAAGGGATCCACGTCCATCTCCCCACAGCCTCTCTCTCTCTCTCTCGCACACACACATTTTTTAAATGCTGCTGTTTCAGAGAAAAGGTGCAGCCACTCCAGCTGCTGGCAGTAAATCATCCCACTGGTTCTCCAGGATGTGTGCTGAAGAAGGAAAGCCATTGATGAATGGGGCTGTCCATACTTACATTGAGAGCAGAACAGCTGTGAGAATCTCCGAGCACCATGAGTACCGCTTGTAACCGCCTCTCTGTCTCTCCTCCTCGGCTACGCTCACTGACAGTGATGGATGTCCCGCTGCTGCACAGGATTCAGCCAGTGGTGTGAGCGGCTACTGGTGTTTGGCACGATTTGGAGCAAATCCCGGTTCCCCTTGGATGTGGCAAAGCTCCTGCGTGAGGTCGGGCTGTCTGTCCCGGATGGGCAAAGCTGGCAGCCTTCAGGCAGGAGGAGTGGAGAGAGGTGCGATTGCTAACAATGGCCTCACCTCTGTTAATTGTGGTCTCTGGCTGTGGGGCAGTGTAGGAATGAAATCGATGCTGCTGCTGCACCAGGTGATTTAGGCTTCACCTTTTGAATGCCTCCAACACAGGTAAATCTGCTACAAATGCTTTAATTGTTCTCTTCATTCTAATCGAGAGAGAGAGAGAGAGAGATAAAGAGCAAGCAAGCATTGAGAAATGTTGCTGTGGACCAAAGACTGAATTCTGAGCATCATCCACTGATCTTGAATCTAGCGATGGATGAACATCATGACTGCACGGTCACCTCCCAGAGGGTTTCCAACCAAAGCAAGGTGCAAAATGAGGCAAACTCAGTGCACTGTAGAGTGAGTTTGCACATGATGATCCTACATGGCACAGGACAGTCCTCTGTTGGAAGGGGTAGAAGACCAGAGGGGAGTTTGTTCCATAGAAAGTGGCCACCACTGAGAAGGTCCTTCTTGTTGTTGCCACCAAGTGAGCCTTCCTTGGAAGTGACCATTGGAGGCAGGCTCCAGAGGTGGATTGGAGTCCTTGGGCAGATGGCAATCAGGAGAGGTGTTCTGTCAGATATTGTGGTCCCAGGCCATGTCAAGCTGCATAGGTTAAAACCACCATCTTGAGGAGTTGAGTTTTGTTGAGTTTGGCTCGGATGCATACCGGCTGCTAATGCAAGTGGGCCAGAACTGGTGTTGTACGCTGTAAACATCTGGTCCCTGTTGTTAATCTGGCTTTTGCATTTTGATGATGGATGGATGGATGGGTAGATAGCTATTAGAAGGAAGTACTTTAAGGTATTTCCTGATATACTGTCTGAGCTATTTTTTTTGTTCTCAGTCTCGTAAAGGTCACTTTAGCGAAAGCTATGTATTTATTATGATTTATGATTAGTGTTTACATACCACCTTTTGTGCTAAAATGCCAGCAAGATGCTGTACAACAATTTAACACTGTAAAACAATAAAAAGATGGCCATTAAAACGGTCACAACATTAAACAACACCCTTCGAAAAGGATGAATCAAAAAGACTGTCATTGCAAAGGCCAGGGAAGCGTGTGGGGAAGCTCATTCCATAGCCAGAGAACAACACGGAAGAAATGCAGAAGGTTCTCTGGATGTAACAGTTTTTAAGGCTGCCTCCATCCCTCACCCCTCTGTTGAGGATCCAGGATGGTAGCCGGTCTCATGTTACTTCCTGCAACATTTGCAAACAGACTAAACAATCAACCAAATACCTCCTGGGAGGAGATGCAAGAGGTGTGCTATTAGCCTTGCTAATGATTAGTCCCAGACCAAGAAACTGTGGGAAAGGTTTTGCACATGCAAGGTCTCTGTCCCCAAATAGGACGGAGAAATTTGACGGGGGGGCTTTGCACACAGCTGACATGAAAATACATTCTTCAAAATAGGATCTCCTCTCTCTCTCTCTCTCTCTCTCTCTCTCTCCCTAGAGATGCTGTTACTGAGCTAAACAGCCAAGTAATCAAGAAATTGATATAGCAGTCTAAAATGTGAGCTCACGGGGGGGGTGTGGGGGGGGTTCTACTTTGAACTTCCTTTTGTCTGGTCTTCCTTGTTGTTCCTAAGTTGACTGGCGCCTTTGAAGCACCCAGCCTTGTCTTCTTTCAGCTCTGCTGACAGCAAAAGAAAATGTGCATCAGAAATGAAATTTCTTTATTTCGACATCAGGAGTAAACAAGACGTCAGTGGTTTTGCGAGACAGAGGAAGAATGGAGAAGTGGAGGCAAACAGTATGTGAAAGGGGGCATGATGGAGGAGTTAGAGATCATATTTTCAAATGAAAGTGACAGCAGAAGCCAGGAATGTTAAATCCTTGAAGAAACTGGAATATTGGGAGGGAACACACACACACACACACACACACACACACAACCAAATAGAAAAAACTGAGCTCCCCTATGCTGCTCATGAAATTGAGCTTGAAAAGATGAATTGATCTCAACTGTTGCACACAGTTTTCAAAGTAAAGAGAAGAAAACAAAATGGAACACATTTTGTCGAAGGCTGCACTTTCTTCACTAAAATGGCTGTCAACATTGACTAGGCCTTCGTCTGAACTTCTACTGCTTTGACCATGAACCACCTGTTAACAAATCATCTTATTAAAGTGTCTGTTTCTTTTTGCCTTGGTCTTCTTCAGAAATCAAATTGTGGGATGAAAGGTGGAGGGGGTTGATGAAATCCACACTGACTTCGTCTTTAGCATGAACCTGTCCAAGCTCTCTCTAATTCCTAGAATTCAAGTCCTACTAACCCGCAAGTTCTCATCTTTCTGATCTTCGGCATTGTCAGTATTCTATTGTTACCCACTTTCTATACGTCTGAAGATTTTTCTCACATTTTGCTAAGACATTACATATGTGTTTGTCTGGGCAACATACACCTCAGAATGTCAAGTGTTTCTTTCAGAAACCCATGGATTCTATGAGGCAAAAGGCAGCAGAATTGTATCCAAAACAGGCATGGCTATAATTCTCTCCTCTGCCCATCATTCATCAACAGCAGCAAGTAATCTGCCCCCAGGTATTTTCCTTGTGCCCCAACTTATACAGGGCTCCCCCTGGCAGCTTCATGGTTGGGGGGCAGAGATGGATAGAGTGAATGATATCCTTCTGGAGTGGGGCACAGCCTGGAAAAATGGACTGTGGCCTGGAGAAATTGGAGGGTTGGCATGGGACTGAGGACCACAGGTCTCCGATTGGGCCCTGGCCATGACTAGAGGTTCTCCTCCTCTGGTCTCTATAAGGCCATTGAGTTGTAGAAAGACCTGCAGAAGGAAGTGGCATCTCTTGTGGATTTCCCCTGCTTTTCTCCTCCGCGCTTGCTGGTATCCCCTTTTTCCTTTCCAGTCACACACAGCCTCCCTTGGTTCATTCTCTCCTTGCTGAGATTGGAGATTAGATAGAGCCTGGATTTATAGCTAGTGGGGAAAAAAATTCACTCCTATCAAGGATTCAAATGATTAAATATCCCACCATAGAAATACTTTTAGCTTCACTTACAGTACCATCTCACTTACACACCGAGGCTTAGAAAATCAACCTGAGTAATAAGAATCTGAAGAGGGAAGGAAACCAGGGAAGCAGAAGGCGGAGGAGGAAGGAGGAGACGGAGAGACTGGGAGAAAAGGTGGAATAAGAGGCGAGACAACTAAGTGAAGGGACTGCTGAGAAAGAGAAATGGTTTCCCCCACCCTTCTGTAGCTCTGAAGGCCTTTGGGAGCAAAATTTTGGGCTCTTTCTTATTCAAGGAAGAAATTCTGGGCAGGCATAAGCATGGAAGTGTTTTACTAAGGTGTACTAAGTACTAAGCTTGTTTTCCATCCATGGCCTCACTCCCATGGGAGCCATCAGTCAGAGACCACATGCTTGGACAGGGCTGAATCTGCTGGTGTATACAGTTCCTCTCTCTTTGGGGAGCCCCGCCTTCTCCTAATAGGCCATCTTGTCCTTTCCCTTTCCCATCATCCCTTTCCTTCCCTTTCTTTCTAACACCCCTTTCCTCTTTTCTTCCTCAGTTAGTTTTCACTCTAACCAACTTCACAGGGTTCTTCTGGAGAAGACAAAATCGACCTCATTCAAAAAATGGTGAAATTACAATGTATATTCATTCATTCATTCATTCGGGGAACTTCTATGCCGCCCCATTCGCCGAAGTCTCAATATATCAAACTATATTATTACAAAGAAGAGAACTCTGCAGAGACAAGTGGGGCAACATGGCCCTCCGGAGATGTTGACCTCCTGTTTATCAGCCCCAGCCAGCATGGCCCAAAGATCTGCATGGCTGCATGTTGCTCAGCTCTGGTAAAGAAGGTTTCAAGGCTGCACAAAGAGCGTATGTAGAGCAGCCTTCCCCATCCTGCTGCTTTCCAGATTGTTTGAACTTCAGCCCCCACCACCCCAGCCAGTTTGGCCAATTGTAACCCGAGAGAACTGGAGGAGGTAATCCGATTTGGGGAATACTGGTAAAGAGGGCACCCACACCTGTATTTACCTCTGCTCCCAAATAAAGTCCAACGTATGCCTTAGAGAGGAGGCCTTGGGAAGTCCTTTAGACACGATGCCATAAGGCATCAGCCATCCTATTCTATGCAGGGAGACTCCACATGGGATTTCAACTCCCGAAGTTGCAGGTTCCTAAACACAGCCTGTTCCCAATCCATGCGAACTTCATGTGTGTTCATTCCATTCTATCTCCTTATCAATTATTTTTGTACTCCTTTTTTTTTCATTTTACATGGATTCTGTCCTAAACTCCGCAGAGTTTTACATCTCTGTAATATAGAATGGGTGGAAACAGAAGCTGCCAGTGGATGGAAACTGTAAGGAAGCAAAGTTCGGCTAAAGATTAGGAGAACCTTATTAATTTTGAGAGTTGTTTGACCACAGGTGACAAGCTCTGCTTCACTGGATCTGTCTAAGCAGAGGCTGCACGACTGTAAATGATGTCTCAGCTGTAGCCTGCATTTCAGAGCTTGCCTTGAACTCTGGGAGAAAGGTTCCTTCCAGACTTTGATGGTCCTATGGTCTAGTTCAAGCAACTTGGAAACACAATCGTAATCACTTAGAAAACCCAAAGATTTAGCCCTGTGTCGACCTTTCCTAACTGCATGAAGCCACGTGTTTCAATCCAAATGTCCTCTAACGCAGCCGCAGTTGCTAATGGTGGTTATGGATCAACTCAGTGGCTCCTCATTATGCAGTTTGATGCAGCATAAAATCACCATTGGATAAGATGGGAGAAAAGCAGATTTATGAATAATTCAATGTGGCAGGGAGCAAAATGTAACGGAGGTCCCATGTCTTCTCCTTCTCCGTATCTGCTTCCCATTTGTTAATGCAGGGATGAATTGTGTGTGTGTGTGGGGGGGGGTAGTGAGGGGTCTTCAGGTACCATATGCTGGGATTTGGGTCCAGAATTAAAACTTCTACTCCAGGCTGGCTAATTTTAGCTCTGCAATGACTCCTCGGTGGGCTGCAGGAAGAGCATGGAGCATGCTGGGAAGAAAGAAAAAGCTCACTTTTCACCTTGGGTGCAGCGTCCTGCCAAAGTACCTGCCCAATCTCAGTCA